CTCTCCAAAAGTAGGTTGCTCAATCTTCCTTCCGAGGAGTAGCTGGTAGGTTTGAACCACCAGCCTTCTGGTTAGCAGTCAACTGCCTAGGCACTACGCCACCAGAGCTTCCATTTTGCCTATAGAATCCTTTAATATTGTAACTCAAGGCTTGAAGTTTTTTGTCAGTTCTTTTAGCTTGAGAAATACTGAGTGTGTTCTTCCCTTTTGGTTTTCTAACTCCAGGTCATCGCACTTATCATTATATTTTACTCTGTCTTCTAGAGCTGCCTTTGAACTCTTCTATTGAGCTCATTTATTTAATCATTTCTTCCACACACTTTAGCTACTCTCTGCTGAAGAGTAAGTTTCAGAGTCCCTTCTGACATCCATTTTGGCCTTTTCTCCCTTTCCTGTCTTTTTAATGACCCTTTGCTTTCTTCATCTATGACATTGTTGATGTCATCCCATAACTTGTCTGGTATTCACTCACTGGTGTTCAAGGCATCAAATCTATTATTCAGATGGTTTCTAATTTCAGGTAGAAATAATAAAGGTCAAATATTGACTTTTGTGGACTTATTTTAATTTTCTTCAGCTTCAACTTGAACTTGCATATGAGAAATTGATGGTCTGTTCCACAGTCAGCTCCTGGCCTTATTTTGACTGATGATGCTGAGCTTCTCCATCTCTTCTTAACACAGATATAGTTGATCCAATTCCTGTGTATTCCATTTGGTGAGGTCCAGGTGTATAGCCACTGTTTCTGTTGCTGAAAAATGGTGTTTGCAATGAATAAGCTATAAGTCTTGCAAAATTCTATCATGTAGTCTTTGGCATCATTTCTAACACCAAGCTCATATCTTCCAACTACTGATCTTCTTTGTTTCGAACTTTTGCATTCTAATCACCAGTAATTATCAATATATCTTGATGGCTTATTTGACCAATTTCAGACTGCAGAAATTGGTAAAAAATCTTCAATTTTTTCATCTCTGGCATTGGTACATAAATTTGACAGAAATAACATTAATTGGTGTTCCTTGTCTGCAAGGTTATTATCCTATCACTGACAGCATTATGCTTCAGGATATATCTTGAAACGTTCTTTTTGATGATGAATGTGATGCCATTCCTCTTCAATCTGTCTTTCCAGCATAGTAGACCATGTGGTTGTCTGATTCAACATGGCCAATACCAGTCCATTTTAGCTCACTAATGCCTAGAACATCTATCTCTATGCTTTCCATTTCATTTTTGACAACTTCCAATTTTCCTAGATTCATGCTTCATACATTCCATGTTCTGTTTTTTTTCTCATTTTGAGTCATGCCCTATCAGGAAAGCTTTACTCCATCTACTTCATTAAGGTTGAATGTAACTTTGAGGAGCAAGCACTTCCCCAGGGGCATTTTGAGTGGTTTTCAACCCGAAGGACGCATCATCCAGCACTGTATCAAAAAATGTTTCACTGCTATTTATAAAGTTTACCAATAATATATTAAGGAGTATTTCATATATACTCATCAATACTCATTTATTTCATATATACTCATAATATGTCATAATGTTTTCAGTACCCAATTTTTCTCAGTGTGGGAATAAATACTATAAACTTAATGAATTATTAAATATGTATTATAAGCTCAAAGTCCTGGAACTTCTTTTACTTTTAAGAATTACTATATCTAGAACTTGGAGGCATCATTGAACCCTTGATTTGTGGAAACAGACAAAAACTAAAGTATTCAATTTATACTAAGATTTTGTTTGGCAGAAAATAATCATATATATGACTCTAAATTATGTCAAATTCAAACTAATAAATCTGAAGGAACAAAACTTTAATGATTTTCTTGAGTAGAATGGTAAACACCAACTTCTCCCTTCCTCCCACTTTGTAAATACTATATGATGTTAAACACCCCTTTATGAAGAATTCTAGTAAGTTCTGCCTCCCTGAAGCAGTACTGTGAACAAGTTAA